TTAGCAAAGCTTCAGGGAAAGGATTTTGGTGACTCCACAGCAATTTGCCTGGACTTTAACCTGACTAGGTGGCTCAGTGACTAAGACACTGAGCTTGTCGATCAGGAAGGTCGGCAGTTCAGCGGTTCGAATCCCTAGTACAGGTCTCCTGCATGAGCAGGGGGCTTGACTAGATGACCTCCAAGGTACCATCCAACTCTGTTACTGTTAATTGAGTCACAGCTTGTCATTAGGGTCACAATAGCCATCTACGGCCACCGACTATCATTTCTTAAACGGTGATGTAACCTACTTTATGAGTTTCAGTGGCTGAATGGAGGTTTCATGTGCTTTCCAAAAATATACTCTAAAGACAATGTTCACCAGCCCATTCAATGCATCTTCGCAGGAATCAGGATTTAGCTGACCTTGAAAAATGAAAGCACCAATACAAATACAATCCAAATTTATGAAGGATAAAAAGGAATGGGGCATAAAAATGGAATCAACAGAATTGGATAAAATTTTACTAAGTACGGAGAGTAAGGCCATAAAGAAATTATACTTCTATCTATTAGAACAAGACCTGTTTGAAGAACAAGTAAAGGAAACTATGATAACCTGGAATAAATATTTTGGTCATAGTATTGATTTGGATAATTGGATGAATCTATGGGAAAAAATATTAAAATTACATTGGCGACCTCATATAAAGAAAACCTGTATAAAATGTTCTACTTCCCACCCACAAGATTGGTAAAAATTAGTAAAAAATATTCTTCAAGATGTTGGAAATGTGAGGTGGTCCTAGGGTCCTATTACCATATGTGGTGGGAGTGCTCGAAAGCAAAAAGTTTTTGGTATCAAATAAAAAGCTGGCTAGAAGAAATTTTAACGATTAAAATAGAAATCAAACCAGAATTTTTCTTATTGGGAATGACAGATGGTAAATATAATAAAAATGTAACCTACCTAATGCTACATATATTAACAGCTGCAAGAATAGCATTTGCTCAGAAACGGAAGAGTAAAGAAACACCTTCAGAAGAAGTGTTATGTAAAATCTTCAATTGTGCAGAAATGGACAGACTCACTTTGGAATTCAAAAATAAAAGTGAATCAACATGTTATGAAATCTGGACTAAATTTTATGAATGGTTAGACAAGAGGAAGAATGCCAAGAAGAAGGTGTAGTGAATGTCTAGAAATATATATGTCAATGTATACTGAACTTGTGAGTGTGATGTAGGTTTATTGAATATGGATATAGTTGTTTAGGAGGGATTACATAGAATGCTTGACATGTAATGATGTAAATTTGTATATAGATTAAGGAATATATTATTTATTAATTTGAATTAGACGGAAATGTTAGAAACCCGGAGATATCAAGCCATGTCCATTGTTTTTAAATTTGAATTATTAATAAAAAACTTTTAAAATGAAAGAAAAGAAAAATGAAAGCACCATCAAGGCGCAAGTATATAAAGGTAGATTTTGCATTAAAAGAAGCAAAGTCTGAGAGTCGTGTGCTCTCACCCAGCAGGATAACTCCTGAGATAAACGTGAACTTTTCCTCATAGTATCTCCTCATGTTTTACCTCTTTTTTTCCAACACTGTGATTAGCTGATGATCCCTACAATCATGAGGCTACAGTTCAACTTTCAGAAGCCTGGAAAAATAATGAGGGTTCCCCCTGTGAATAAGCATATATGGCTTAATAAGCATTGCCTCACAAAGCCAGAATTTCATTACTGTGTGTATCACAAATGTGCGGTCTTGTGTAGCAAGACCCTGAAGATGAAAGAGATCAGCCTCTGGAATACAAGGCTGGAAATAGAATTCCACTCAGAGTGTGGAGCATAAAAAATTCTAAGTGTTCACTGAGGAGAACCAATAAGGATTATTCACCTCTGATTGGCTGGCAGCCCTCCACCAATCAGAATGCATAGTCTGGGTAGCAACAAAGGTGGGGAAGAGAGAAGAATTTTGGCGGGAAAAGCTGAGGTAAAATCAGAGAATGAGAGAGAGGGAGACACAAATGAAGAATTGAAGAAAGAGACAGATTGTGGTTGCGAGAAAGAATTTAGTGAGGCACAGAATTGAAGGGGACACAAGATTGCCTCGCTTGGCTTCTACATTACTTCATGTTAAATGGAAAATAGCTTTGAACTTGGATAAAGATCTCCACCAAGCTCTCCTCACAAAGCCAGAATTTAGTTATTGTGTGTATAAAGAATGTGTGGTCTTGTGCCACAAGACCCTGAGGGTGGAAGAGATCACTTTGGAATACAAGGCTAGAAATAACATTTCACTCAGGGAGCAGAGGCTAAAAAATACTAAGCATCCACTGAAAAGAGCCAGTAAGAGAATCAGTTGTTTTTCATTGGCTGGCAGTCCTCCACCAATCAGAATGCATAGCCTGGGTAGCAACGAAGGGGGGGGGGAGAGAGAGAGAGAGAGAGAGACAGAGAGACAGAGAGACAGAGAGACAGAGAGACAGAGAGAGTAAATTTGGCGGGAAAAGCAAAGCCAAGGTAAATTGAGAGCAAGACAGAAACAGAAATGAAAAACTGAGGAAAGAGACAGGAAAGAGACCAATTAGGTCACCGAGAAAGAGTTTCATGAGGCACAGAATCGAAGAGGAAGCAAGACTGCCCACTTTACCTCTTTGTGCCAATGAGGAGGAATCCATTACCTCATGTTAAATGGAAAATAGCTCTGAACTTGGATAAAATTTCCCACCCAGCTCTCCTAAAGGAGTCTAGTTCCCATTTCTAAATATTGTCTGAATATTTCATTCCTTTTTTGCCATGGAAACGGCATCACTATGCAAACAAATTATGGAACAAATGTTTCAGGACGTCTTTCTGCTTTGCAGGGAAGAGCCAGACATTTTTATTGTATTTGTATTTGTATTTGTATTTGTATTTGTATTTGTATTTGTATTTGTATTTGTATTTGTATTTGTATTTGTATTTGTACTTGTAATTGTACTTGTACTTGTACTTGTACTTGTACTTGTACTTGTACTTGTACTTGTATTGTATTGCATTACATTGCATTCTATTTTATTTTGTTTTGTTATTTTATGTTTTGTTATTATATTATATTATATTATTATATATTTTAATTTATTATTTTATATTTTACTTTATTATTTATATTTTATTATTTTATTTATTATTTTATTATTTTATTTTATTTTAATGTGCTGCCCATTTTTCTATCCAAGCATGGTGAGTAGTCGGGAAGTCAGCAAGTGAATCCCTTGGTTTCTGTGTGAAAATCATCACTACCACAAACTCCAAAATGAAATGTGGAGTTGTTTAATAAGTTGAAACTTAGGGGGGGAAACAAAATTCTAACGATAGCAACAATTAGTATTCTTCAGTGAAGTTGAGCTGAGCTGAGTTATACTAAGTTCAAAGAAATATCCCACAGACACACGGACAATTTTTAGGACCCGTACTGGAACCAAAAGCATCTCAGGGACTGCCACAAAAAGAGGGAGTCAAGCTATTCTCCAAAGCACCTGAAGGCAGGACAAGAAGCGATGGATAGAAACTCATCAAGGAGAGAAGCAACCTAGAACTAAGGAGAAATTTCCTCACAGAACTATTAATTGGTGAAATGCCCTCAGAAGTTGTGAATGCTCCAACACTGGAAGTTTTTAAGAAGAGATTAGGTAACCATTTGTCTGAAGTGGTGTAGGGCTTCCTGCCTAATCAGGGGATTGGACTAGAAGACCTCCAAGGTCCCTTCCAACTCTGATATTCTATTCTGTTCTTATTTATTATCACACAAGGTTGTCTTGTGTGCCCTCTGGGAAGAAAAGCCAGACAGAGAACATGAATGCTTGATTTATTTGGCTTTTCCAATGTGGAAGATCCACTTTAATCCTTTTTTGATGAATCCCCCACACGCTTCCCCAGATGCCAGTTCGGAAGAGGATGAACCAGTTCCAGGTATGTCTGGAGGGGAGTTGGTCCAGGCTGCCTCTGGGAGGGATTTGACTAAAACCCTGAGGTTTTGGGTGGGGAAAGCAAGCAACTGCAGCCAGCCAACAATGAGGAAGAGGAACTGCCTTCTGTCTTCCCGATCCAAGAACACGTAGGACAGAGGAAATGCAGCAGCAGAGAAGGTCAGTCAGATGACTCATGAGGAGGCAGCCTCATCCTTCTTGCTGGGCTGCACCAGAATCTGGCTATTTAGCAGATGGATGGAAGCAATGGTGGGGAGAAATGTGTTTATTTCCTAGCTGTGTGTTTTCTGGTTATTGTGATTCTTGCCTTGCTTTGGATTGACACCGTACCTTGACTCGGATCATGCCTTGTGAACTCTGGACTTTTCTTGCCTCGTGAACCCTCTTGTGTTGTGGGTTTCATTTTGCTTGGTGGGCTCATTTTGGTAGGGAAACTTTCAAGTGCCTTGTAGATTCCTTGGCCATTGCTCTGTGGATTAGTATCGGTCTGCTTGTGGCTGGACTTAATTGGGACAGTTCTGGGTTTTTGGTGAAGGGAGTTGGGAGGAGGAATATTAATACACCCGCTAAACCAGGGGTGAAATCCAGCAGGTTCTGACAGGTTTTAGAGAACCAGTAGTGGAAATTTTGAGTAGTTTGGAGAACCAGCAAATACCACCTCTGGCTGGCCCCAGAGTGGGGTGGGAATGGGATTTTTGCAATATCCTTCACCCAGGAGTGGGGAGGGAATGGGGATTTTGCAGTATCCTTCCCCTGGAGTAGGGTGGGAATGGAGATTTTGCAGTATCCTTCCTTGGAGTGGGGTGGGAATGGAAATTTTGCAGTATCCTTCCCCTGCCATGCCCACCAAGCCACACCCACAGAACTGGTAGTAAAAAAAAATTGTATTTCACCACTGCACTAAACCACAGTTGTGTGTGTGTGTGTGTATTTGTGTGTGTGTTTGTGTATGTGTGACAGCACATTCTTAGAGGAAGAATTAAACCACTTTCATGATGGATTGTTGTGTCAAAAAATTAACAGAAGAGCAGAAAATATTTTTGTGCACTAAAGGGAATTTTATTGAATGTGAAGCAAGGAGTGAACAGAGGAAATGCAGAGTCTCATGCATGAAGAACATAACATAACATAACAGAGTTACAAAAACAACGCCCAGACTATAAAGCATTATCCTAAGCTTGAGAAATCAAATTAAAGCGTCAAGGACACTGTTGCATAGTGTGGTAGTCATCTTATCTGAACGTGGAACATTTTGAGGCGGGTGCATATGGGGGGGAAAGCAAAAGTCCTTTGTTAGTCCTAAACTAGAAGCATACACATGCAAACGTGAAGATTTTGGAGAATTCCACTAGAGAAATAGTTTAACCCCAATGTCTTTAAGGTGCTGTCGTTCCAAAAAAATAAACAAAACCTGTAGAAGACAGCCAGAAGAACTTATGTCTTGTCTCACGATGACAGTCTCTGAAGACATCTTCCATCATGCTTCTATGATGTCTTCTTTTGATTCTTCAGGAGACGTTCATGAGAAGGTTGGCTGCAATATACGATCTACAGTATTTACCGCCATTATGGGGATACAGTTATTGGAACTTAGACAGAAGAAACTCAGCTACGAGGAGCTTGGGTTGAGTCTTCAACATACTCAAACTAGACCCATCTAAGCTCCCACGGACTCTAAGGAGTCTATTTAAAATAGCTGAGTCTGAATTCAACCTTTTTAACACTAAGATTAACTTGCAGAGATGTGGAGCAACTCCCCTAAATCAAGTTTTGAAGAACTGTGAAGGCTCGTGGAATTTTAGAATCCAGAAGCCGTAACCTTGGTCATGAATCTGTGCCATAATTTTCAATTCCAGGAGGACCGTATTAGAGAGCTATTCCGTGGTTATTCAAATGAACAAGTGGCAGGGGCTGCATGGAATGACACAGGTTGGAACGCAGGAAGGATGACCGCCACTGACAGGGAAGATGGGGCCAGATGGATTGAAACAGGATGGCCTAGATGACGGGACACATAAGGGAGCAATGGGGATACTACTGGATGAGCTAACGGGAAAGATAGGGCCAGATGGGGAGTAACAAGATGGCAAGCTGCTCTTTGGTTGAATACACACTCCATGTGGCCCACAAGAGATGCTACAAGGAGACGCACAGACTGGGACGCAGGAAGACTGCAGGGGTTGGACACAAACTGTGGGTGGCCCACAAGGAGATCCACAAACCGGGATGCAGGAAGACTGCAGGGGTTGGACACAAACTGTTCGGTGGCCCACAAGGAGACCACAAACCGGGATGCAGGAAGACTGCAGGGGTTGGACACAAACTGTGGGTGGCCCACAAGGAGATCCGCAAACCGGGATGCAGGAAGGCTGCAGGGGTTGGACACAAACTGTGGGTGGCCCACAAGGAGATCCGCAAACCGGGATGCAGGAAGGCTGCTGAGGTTGCACACACACAGTGGGGGGTCCACAAGGGATGCCACAGCTGGGGTGGCAGACTGGGACACAGCAAGATGAGCTACCCCCGACTGGGAAAATAGGTCCAGATGGGCTGAAACAAGTTGGCTTGTGGCAGCTGAACACCATGTTGGAGATGATGAAGGTTAGCCTGCAATGGGCAGAAAGGATAAGAAACGGTAAGCATGAGGAGCAAAGAACTGCCTACAAATCACCACCTTTATTCCACTTCTTCCAAAGAAAACTTAAATAGCATTTCTAAACTACTCTCCCAACACTGATCAAACAGGCTTATCCTCTCCTTCTCAATGAACCTGTGTTTTGTTCTCATGAAACTATGGTTCCTCCAGAACTCAGAATATTTTGGATGTAAGATTTACGGAAGGCAGGATGGATGATATTTGTAGATTTTTCCCCCCCTCTAACTGTCCCCAAAACTAACATTTGCTGCCATCCTATAAACTTCCCAAGTCCATTGTTAAGGGATCTCTTGAATTTTGTTTCAGTGCTACATAGTCAAGCTAACCAATATACAAACAGTGTTAGAGATTCAACTGCATATTCGGTACATATACGTTAATTGGTTGCATTCATAAATTGGCTATCTTGGTCAACGGCAACATTGGATCCATGGTACTAGTAGAGGTGCATTGAAAAGCAAGTCTACAATAGGTGCAAAATAAATAGGGGTCTCGTCTGACAAAACACAACTCATAAAGTAGAGTAATGGATCTTATCGTCAGCCAATCCCAAATCTAGATCTTCCTAAACTGGTCGTCATATAAACCCTCTTCTGCCTTCCATGTTCAGGTTGCTATGCGATCTTCTACATCTCCAAGTAGACCTGGAAAATTCCAGACAGCAATCCTGGAGAATCAATCCAAGTTGAAAACTTGGAGCAACTTCCCTCAAAGACTTGCAAAGAATAACTTCTTAGGTTTCTACACCTATGTCAAAATTTAAGCTCTCTTAGGTCACCAACCTGCTAGTGTGGACTATCTGTTGGAAGCAAGCAAGGAAAACAAACACAAATCAGCAAGAACGTTCATAACTGAACCAGGAGGAGCATGACTCCTGGGGTTAGGCTGTTGGTCGAAGTCCAAAATGACTTCTCGGAGGTATTAGATGCATTTAATAGAATGTCAAATCCAACTTACCGGAGAGAGCTGGAGAAGAGAAGTGAAGGAGAAGTGAGAAGTCCTGCTGAAGAACTGAAGCTAGGCAGCAGCTTTTATACAGTTTCTTGGGGAACCTGACAAGCGTCTTGACCAGTGAAGTCTACCAATTATGTATGTCTCATCTCAAATGAAAGGGCTCTGGAGCAGCCATCCTTGCTTTGTTGTCATTGTGTCCCTGCTAATTTTGGGGTGTTTGGGTGTGAATATTACGCATTATGCTCCCTATCATTGGAGTATATTAAAGTCTAAGGACGAGGATTAGACCAGGTGGATTAATGATGACTAGTTTCCACAGCTAGTTTCCACAACTGATTAGTTTCTACAGTGATTTTAGACTTCTTCTTACCCTTCAAATTAAAGATCTTGGTTTTGGGGGGTGATGGAGGAGACATTTCTTTGGAGTTGGATTTTTAAATGGCCATGTTTTGTTGAGTTTGATGGAAATGTGTATGAAAAATTAAGAAGGACAAATCTCTTACTTAGAGAATATTGTCACGGAGAATTCTAGCCCGTCACAGTGATGTAATTTGAAGTGTTCATTCCTCCACAAATTTATAATTTTTTGCTCCTGCAGAAAAAAGTGATTTTTGTTACTTTCAAGAGAAGACCGCGTGTTGAGTTGGATATTATAGTACATTTCCTTGAAGAAATCTTCCAGCTCAGGTATTCTAAAAAAATATCTGGGTTTGAACATCTTGAAGGTGGCTCCAGTGAAGCCTACAGAGCAGAGGAGGGTTTCACTTACCTTCCCTACCGGTTCTCAAATGTGCGTGCATTCCTCTGCGCATGAGCAGTAGTCGCACATTACGTCCGGGCAGGTGAGTAGTCGCCCCTACCAGTTCGTGCAATTCGGACAGAACTGGCTGAATCCCACCTCTGTAACTGGCTGCTACAGAGCTTATAGAAGCTTCTTCAAATATCAAAAAAAAAAAAGTCATATTAACTGGAATGTAATAAATTAACCAAAATCATACAATTTTGTCTCATTTATTTTGGCCATGTCACACAGGGGAATTCACTGGAAAAAAGCAATTATGTTGGGAAGAGTTAGCGGTAAAAGGAAAGTATGGCTGCCAAAGATCACGGTGGCCGGACACCATCAAACTGACACCAGCCAGAGCATAGAACAACTCAAAGAAGTAGTTCAAGATCAGAAGATGTGGAGAAACCTGGACCATAGAATCAATCAAGGGTCAGACTTGATTGAATGGTTAACATCGTCATCAATAAAATAACAAGAAACTAAATTAAATTAATTTGTGGGGGGCAGCTCCACTCTGCTCTGGTTCGGTTGTTGGGTTGGGTTGGGTTGGGTTGGGTTGGGTGGGGTTGGGTTGGTTGGTTGATTGGTTGGTTGGGTTGTTGGTTGGGTTGTTGGTTGGTTGGTTGGTTTTTTTGTAGAACAGCACAAAGGTCAGCGAAAAAGTGACGTTGTGTTAAATTTCTTGGTATTTCATGGAAGAATAATAGGAACTCTCAGGACTAGAAATTGGATTGGTTGTCAAAAAAAGATAACAAGCGCTAAGGCATTCAGCATTATCGGCAAGAAAAGCACTTGGCCACCTCCTTGAAGTCCTCAAGAGTTCAATCTGACTTGAAGGAGATATACTTTTCACATTTTTCTCAATGTTCAAAGGGGACAAAAGTCTTCATCCACCCCAGATTGAAAACTTATTTTGGGTTCCCTTCAAAATTCTTTGGCTGTTCCACCCAAAGAGGAACTCCCACTTTTGGTGCTACATTCTTCTCTTAGAACAAAATCACAACCAGAAGGAAATGACATGTTTGGACTTACATTGGCCGAGTCTCCCTACTCAGTCCCAAATTGCTTGGATCAGAAATTTTAATGTGCACATTTCTCTCTCTGATGTGAACCTCTGGGAAGCACCTTCACCTGAGGTCATCAGTGAACTTTAGAGGAAACAGGCTTCTCACTTTGCTGCCTTACCCTTGTATCTTTCATGTCTTCCCAGGAAGATGGCCAAGTTTTAATTGGAAGGAGCACGCAATTCACCTGCTTCTTTAAATTTTTCACCTGCTCTTCCAAATCTAGAACTAACTGCATTCAACTTCCATCGCCCAGGAAAATAGCTACCATTTAAGGGCTTAGAAGAAGAAAAATCGCCATATAATTCAGTATCATCATCAAATGAGGGCCTAGGGCCTCACCAAATCATCTTTGTAATTTGCCCTCTTCATTTCCAGAGCTTAGGAAGAAGGATGAAGAAATTCATCAATGGCTTGGATCATCATTTTTCTAGCCCCTTGAAATACCATACGACTTTAGATTGTTATTTTGTTCCATCAATCTTCCATATGAATCTCACCCAATCCAGGTGAGATTCAAGGTGCTGGTTATCACCTATAAAGCCCTACATGGCTTAGGCCCAGGGTACCTGACGGACCATCTGCGGCCAGCAACAGCTCCCCATCGCCCGGTGTGTTCCCACAGAGAGGGTCTCCTTGGAGTGCCGTCGGCCAGGCAGTGTTGTCTGGTGACTCCTAGGGAATGAGCCTTCTCTGTGGGCGCACCTACCTTATGGAATCAACTCCCCCTGGAGCTCCGAGTGGCCCCTGACCTGCGCTCTTTCTTTTAAGGTCCGCCGTGACCTTAAGACAGGGTTATTACACCAGGCCGGTTTGGACTGAAGCGGTTTTTAAGGGGAGTTTTAATGGTTTTTTAACATCTAATATTGATTTGTCTATTTTATTGCTGTGAGCCGCCCTGAGTCCTTTTCGGAGAGAGGGCGGCATATAAGCTTAATAAATAAATAAATAATATATTTCTAATTTTTTTTTTTATTTAAAGCAAAAAAAAATTATATATACAGCTTCAATATCTGGAGCCATCTCTCTTCTCTTCTCTTCTCTTCTCTTCTCTTCTCTTCTCTTCTCTTCTCTTCCCTTCCCTTCCCTTCCCTTCCCTTCTCTTCCTTTCCCTTCCCTTCCCTTCTCTTCCCTTCCCTTCCCCTCCCTTCCCTTCCCTTCCCTTCTCTTCCCTTCCCTTCCCTTCCTTTCTTTCCTAAGACATGGTTTAACACTGAAACAGTCAACATTTGAACTCCATACACATGACAGTTACGATTTTGAATTAAATGCAAAATTCCATCTGTTTTTGTAAAAAAAGATGAGCCAAAACAGGGGTGCGGTGTGTTGCTAGCTTGATCACCTTATCAGAAATATAAAAGTGAGCCAGAAAACATGATTCCCACTGTGATAGTCCTCACAAGCCTTCAAAAACTCCACCATAAGATCACAATGAGCAAGGGCTACATCCTAAAATGCGGTTGGTTGGTTGGTTGGTTGGTTGGTTGGTTGGTTGGTTAGTAGACAGTGAAAATTTGGTTTAGAGTCAATGGTCACATGTGAACCAAGCCAATTCTAGCCTACTCAATAAACCATGACTAGACAAACATGGCTTAACATGTGATGGGACCCATGACTCTATGTGGGAAGGAAAAGGACCACCAAAAAAGGAGAGACAGATTCAATTTTGCTTCGAGAAACAATCCCTGAAGGAGTCTAAATCTGGATGGCGATCAGCAGAGGTCATCTGGGAAGTTCTCCATCCAATTACATTGCTAATAATTTACACCTGTGACTTAGTCTAACTCCGCTTGGGGAAATTAGGAGAAGCAACCTGATTCCAGCTTCTAATATTCCCCAAAAATGAATGGAATGCAAACCTGATGACAAAGGGATAGTAATGGAAGAATAATAACAACTTAGATCTCCAACACCCTGCAAGTAGAACATCTCCTCCAGCAAAAAGAAACACCCAACGATGCTGTATATAAGAAGGACTGATGCTTCTTCTGGCTTTGTCCAACTTCTAGCTTGCCGTCGCTGGTGAGTCTCCACACAAACTTCGCAGTTCTGTGGATAGACTATTCCAGTTTACTTGGACTATCTTGGTTGTCCAAATCTGTTTCTCAATGAAGCCAAAGCTGGGTTGACCTACAGCTTGTATCACAAGCTAAGTTGAAGACACTGTGCGATTGCTTCATATCTACCTCCTTCTGCCGTCAGCTTTAAATGAACAATTTTTTGCCACAACTGGCCATGAGCGTGTAAGAAATATATTCAAAGCCTGTTTACTTTTATGGGCATGATGATAGAAGACAGAAGAAGGTGCTGTTGTTGCAGTTTAGCAAGAGGCTAGTCTAGTTATTGAACAAAGCTCTCATAAAAGATATCAAACCATCTATGAATCTCACAAGGCTGTATGTACAACATACAGAACGCAAACCAAGGTTGAAGCTTGGTTGAGCATATGTTGTCAAGTCAGTGTCAACTCTTAGCATCTACCTTAGACTTTCTCCAGAAGGATCTGTTTCTAACTAGGTCCTTCAGGTCCTCCATGGGCCCCTCCATCCTCCCTGTAACTAAGTCCAATCACCCTGTTGCTTATTGTCCTCTTCTGTCCTCGTTCTTTTCTGTCCTTCAGAAGTTTGAGTGCTCCATCACTGGAGGCTTTTAAGAAGAAACTGGACAGCCACCTGTCTGAAATGGCATAGGGTCTCCTGCTTGAGCAGGAGGTTAAACTAGAAGACCTCCAAGGTCCCTTCCGACTCTGTTATTCTGTCCTTCCTTCCTTCCTTCCTTCCTTCCTTCCTTCCTTCCTTCCTTCCCTCTGATATTCTATTCCATTCCATTCTATTCTTTTTCCTTCCACCTTCCCCAGCCTTAGACCCTTCTCCAGAGAGCTGATCCTTCACCTGTATCCAAAGTAGGATCGTTAGACCCTGAAGGTTAAAGCTTGTCAAGTTTTATACACTATGCAGTTGGTAAACTTTCCAATGTTATGTACGTTTTGTGAAGAGTCCTATAATCTTTTAGCTCTCCATATGGATCGTGCAAAACAATCAGCATTGTTTAACACTTTTTAAAATTAATCTTATATATATATAGGTATATTCCTTGGTTTTTTTTCCCTTGGTTGTTTTAGTGTTCTACTTTCTTTTCACTTTGTTTAATCTTCCTTTTTACTTCTTCCTTTTTTTTCTTTT